AGCTTTTGCACTACGAGAATTGGGTCGCTCGTGATTTTTACCTTGTAAGATGGGTTGGAGTTGACTGTATGTGCTCCTAATGAATAAAATGTAATAAAGGAGAGCAGAATTATTTATGGGCACGAGCGCGGTCAGCAAAAAGGACATGCAGTTCCGATTAATGCCCGCCGCCCCAACAAAGAACAACTGAGCGGCTCTCCGTCAGAGGGCATCTAGCAAGTGGGCGGTCCAACTGGGCGGCGTTAGAACTAGAACTTTCAGCGGCTGTAGCTCGCTCCTCGCTCGCTGTGGAGTCGAATAGAGTGGGACAGTCTCTAGCTTGGGGGCTGTACTACTTGCACAAGGAAGGACGACCATGTACTACTCGAGCGCGGGGGCTGTCTTTGAAGGAGGAAAAATAGGCCAGCTTTGCCAAAAGGGGTAATTCGGTGCGGACGGACGGTTTCTGACGCTGGCGTCATTTGACGCAAATTTCGAGCCACCATTCTTTGACTAGATTAGATGCGAATCCGTGTACTGGGACTGTTTGATATCGCGTTCCTGAATATGGCATATGTTCCGAGGCAGCGTCATCTACGTTTTTTTTAAGGCTGAGCTTCGGAGAAGGAATGAATTTCTTCTCGCCAGACGCAACCTTAGCAGAGCGCAGATGGTCAGAGTGTCCTACACCAGCACCAGCCAAGAATGAATGTCATATTCGTATGGATATTCGCCTCCGCCTATGGAATATTCGGTGAAACGTGGTGGCGCCAAAACGGCTTCAGCGCGAAAAGATTGTCATATTATTCAGGGCACCGAATATTCCATAGGCACAGTTCCAGCAAAAAACTTTTTTCAATTTTTTGGGTTAGTATTAGTTCTAAGGTGACGAGGTTGGTCGAAACGGCGCTCTTGAGATTGAGAGTGCTATTTGGCGGCTAGAGTAAATCCGCTCTTCTGCTTCTCGGGACGAAGTGACTTGGTGTTTAGTAATCTGCGTGTCTGTTAGGCTGCATTCGTACCTTGCGGCTTGAACGATTCTGTCGCAACTGCGATCGATGGCATTCTGCCCATACTCGGCGGACTGCAGCAGTGGTTGAAAGAGGTCTTACACGCGAATGTGACTGGATTACCGTTTGTCACGGTTAGACAGACAGCGGTGGAACGTGTTTGGTCATACGACTCTCGAGTTCTGCCGACCGTGCGAAGTTTCTGCGAATCGCAAAGTGTAAACGCGAGCTCATTGAAATGTGCTTTCTGGAAAGGGATCTGTGCTCCTTGACGCGTCTTCAGGTTTCGACTACAAATGCGTTCTTCATGTGCGCCATGCAGTCCTATTCAACGAATTTGCCAAAGTTTTCTCAGAGAAAGCGGTCAGCGTATTAGGTGGTCGAAAAATCTAAGATGAAGTCATTATCCAGGTCCTAGGGAAATGAGGAGAAATAATGAAGTCTTGAGAAGTCTACATATAGGTCAACGACCATCTGTCGCTCGTATGGTTATCGGACGTCATGACATAGGCATGGCTGCATTCACTAAGGCAGCGTTCAGACTTCGCGACGGCAGCGCCTCGGTCGCGCGTTCGGCGCGATCGATGCGCATGCTTTCGACTGCATCGATCGCGTCGAACGCGCGACCGAAGCGCTGCCGTCGCGAAGTCTGAACGCTGCCTAACCTTCGAAAAGCGTCCCTTCTGAGCACAACGTTATTTCCTTATGGTAACCAAGGTCAATGGTAGAATTTGAGCTCGAATCTTCTTCGACATAAAGAGGCACACTAAATTGATTGTAAAAAGGGTGAGGTAGGCTAATTTGTTCCTTTTTCACGATGAAGATGACAAAGCATAATTACTCCGTAATAGCCGAGGTATCCTCTTATGGAATAGACAGTATAACATTTTCACACCAGTCCGCCGAAATGATCGAAAATGCAAGAGATTTTTCACTTTTTTTGGATTTTTTTGATCGTTTTTGTGATAAGGTTTGATGCCTTCATGTAGTAGAACATTTAGACCGGAAAGTAGCTCTGGGGTGCACAACCTTCAAAATAGTAGTATGGTACTGTCCTGGAAGCTCATTAAAATCTTATCGTGTAATCATGAAGAGGAAAAAAATTTTATTGCAAAGGGTCTGAAAATTCAAAAAGGAGTCTAAAACTTTCTGCAAAATTATTTCTTTTTCCTGATATTTTGATGTGGCTGGATGGACTTGTCGCCGGCAGGGCGTGTCTGTGACCCCATTCAAAGTTCGCGATCGGGTCGTTCGACTAGATCGCGCAACCACGACCGGGGCTCTCCTCCGCCAAGCGGTGTACCGCCGCAACGACATAACTCAAATAAGACCGCGTTCACACTGTGATTGTGCCGTTGCGGCGTTGCACCGTTTGCAATGGAGCGCCCCGGTCGTGGTCGCGCGATCCGATGGCGAGTCTGAACGCGGTCTGTTAGTTATACGCTCCGAACATATAAACCGTATGGTCAGTCTGTTGATTAAATTTACTTCCCATTTCTTATCTTCTGAACTGATATCCTTGCAAACTGAATTGATATTTGACACGAAGCGAACACGGTGTTGCATCCATTATGAGGGGACAAGAGGCGTGGGTATATCTTTACGGATTCACAACCCTATTTTGTGAACCACTTTCCATTTGATGTGCTATCGGGGTAATTTGAAAGTCCACTGCTCTGTGTATAACAATAATCCGATCTTCATATTACTACTCGAGTACACTGTTTGTTTCGCTGAAGCCTTTGTTTCAAATCATTTATAGGGAAAACATTACTTAAATTAGTTCGTATTTAAGAAGTAGACGACGGCGATTCAAAGGAAAGAAGAATTCAAGTAAGGCAGTTAGCAGAGAAGATCGCATGTGGCGTTTGCTATACCAAGATGTTTGCACACTTCATTATTCCAGTTGCAGCCCGCAGAATCTGGGTCCTTGTCTCCTACTTCGTAGAGCTTTGCGTAGTCAGGCACTCTACAGTCGAATACGTGAACGATTGACAACATCCCTAATGAGCTAAACATGCGGGTTCTTACACTTCTTATCCCTGAGCCAGAGT